ACTAGGATACATGCTACTAGAGTTGTGCATAAGCCGTCTGGTTATGTAGCCTTCTATTCCGGTCCAGCGTCCACCAACTAATGAAGAAAAATTCCAGGGTTAGGTCATGTGGCTCGCTAAATTGGATTTTAATTTTACCGATCTGCCGGACTTTTAAAAATGCTGGTGTTAAGCGACTGGTTACATCGCTTTGCTAAAAGGGTCCAGAGGAAGGAAGAGCTGGATAGATTTTACCGACCGTGGCGATGAAATGCAGCGTTCCCGGGCATGAGGAGGTGCGCAGGTGGATTCTGTAGCGACGTTTAGCAATTGCGCCAGCCAAAGACGTGTGCTAGTTCAAAGGTCTTGTCCTGTGAGGATCTCGCGTCCTGGAGGCGCTTTGGAACGGTTCTTGAAGGAGATGAATAAGTAACCAAGTTGATACTAGATTCTAGATACAAGACGTAGCGCAAGGAAGCAAGAGAAAGAGAAAGCGTGGCTTCCCGATGCGCGAAAGGAACAAGGGTATCAGGTGGTCACGTGATACCGCGGCAGCTTCGAATCTGTTATCGTATCTAAAGCCACGAGCTGAGAAGGCCTTGCCGAAGAGTCGACGAAGGTAGGCGTAATCCGGTCTGTCCTTGAATCCCAGCGACCGAGTGTAGCTAATATATGTCGCAAATTCCCTGGGAAGGCCCTCGCAAAGCTCTGTCACCGGCATCGTTAGCTTCTTCTGTTTGATAAACTCGTTCTTCTCCTCAGTCGCAGCTTTGAGCCCTTGCCAAAGGCAACGAGCCACGCGCGAAGTACAACAACACATATCCCAGCGACTCCAAGTCATCTCCCCAGGACTGTTCTATCGCAAAATTAGCAAGCAGCGGCAACAAGGACTACGCAGAACGCACCTCGTCCATTGTGATTGTTCAAACTCGCGTATCGCCGAGTGCCACCAAACGGCCGGCCTTGCATAGTCTGAAAAGGCTCAGCATTGCAGAACTCTTTCGCCAAACCGAAATTAATAGAGGAAGTACTTGTCATTGCTATGCTCGAGCTCGGCTCCATATGAATAGATCCACGAGACCTTTACTCGCCTGCCACGGTCCTTTTGTCCCGTATGCGATACTGTATACCTTTCAGAACCGTGCCATTGTGCCGCCGAAGCATGCCCCAGTCAATTGGGAATAAGAGAGAGTGTGGAGGACATGTTGAACGATGACAGACGGTTTGCTCTGCATCTGGCGTTGACTCGGTCGAGGATATCGGCTCGTTCAGATTAGTAGATTGCCTCGTAGCAGACGTTACAGACAAGCTTCGAGTGCCCACTAGCCGATTTGGGCCCCAGAACGCGTGCAGAGACATAATAACGCGTCGGATCGACGCGTTGTTGATGGCGGGTGCCTGGATTGGATGGGCGGACTAAGGCGATTTGTGTCATGCCCCACCCGACTACTCGCCCTCTCGATTAACTAACCTAGAGTTCGTATACTCTAATAGCCAGCCAACAGAGACTCCTCTTAATATGTAGCTCATAATGAGCATCAAGTACTTGACAGCTCGACACTCGTTAAACTTGATTGATTGAACGGCGACGTCGAACTTGACTTGAGAACTTGACTTGAGAACTTGACTTGACAAGAAGTCGAACTTGATTGAAACTTGTCAAGTTTAAGCTTGATTGTTAGCTGAAGAAAAGGGTTCATGATTCTGCGCTCAAGTCCATGCCAACATTGGCTAGATGGTACTACTCCTATTTGTCACAGTGGTACTAAGCCTCGCTGCCACCCATTTCCTAATCTGTGAAACCATTACCACTCTGCATTATTCAGACATGTCTCTTCCGATTCCGACGAGTCTTCGTGTTCGTCCGAAATGTCAAAGTTATTGGAGGGCGAGAAAAAGAAAACCGGCTGTGGCAATAAGACCGGCATAAGATGCTTGATACGCACATCCGTGTATTCAATTTTCACATTACCAAACAAATCATTTTCCGATCGTTGATGTAAAAGTTCCAAGACTGGCGAAGAGGGAAGTACCCTGCCCAGTCTAACACGCCGTGCCTCGACCCGAGTGCCTTGCTCGGACCTCTGACGAACCCAGCAGGCGTCCTTTTTTGACCTACTGGTTGTAGCGAGAACTGTGAAGTGATCGTCTGGCTGCACATTACCAAGCCCGCAGGGTTCCAGTACCCGAGCTGCGAGGCATTGCGGCTGCTCCTCAGTACAAGTAAATTCAAAGCCAGCGTCACTAGTTTCCTCAACATACTCTTTCAAGAGGCCGAATGGAACTTTCTCATCAATCCCTATGATATTTTGAACTGTTAAGGGGTTACTGAGCAGCCAGCTGCCTAGCTCAGAGGCGGAAAAGTCAGTGCATGCCTGTCTGTGAGGGCGTTGGTCTGAACTCTCAGTTGCGTTCTCCATGCTGAATGCAATATCCTTTGCCGGTGGCCAATCACTGGAGTCGCCTGAGAGATCAACGCAAAATGGGGCGTCGTTGTAGTAAATGATGCTGCCTTCGCGGCGTCCGTTTTGAGGATTCGGATATCTGGAGCCACTGTGGGTATATCCAATCATCCCTATACTGTCGTCGTCATGAACAAACGGAGATAAAGTATCGCCCAGCACGGTAGCGCCGTCGGGAGAGTTCTGATGAACAAAGAGCGGCTTGTAGTAGAAGCGGTTCGACGGCCCGGGAACTTGGGGCTTGAACTTAGGCTCCCTGGTCACAGTTCTGGTATCTCCCGTGAGATAGTCCATTCGCTGTCTTTTTGCAAGCGTGGAGTCGCAGTCATCTATCCAATGATTTCTCTTCACATCCGTCATCACACCAGGGGTCTGGCGGAAATCCGCAGGAATGCTGCCCAGATACTTCTCAACCTTTTGTTTAGCAGACCGGGTTCTCTGCATGCTAGCAGTTCGGCAAAGCGATATCTGACTAGAGTTACAATCGGCTAACATGGAGGTATATGCTGAGTCCGAGGGCTGAGTCTTGAGCTGCTGGGACGAAGTAGGGAGAGGTTCTAAGCCAGAATCTGGAAGCAGATCAACGCGTCGCCGAGACTCTTTTGATTGCGTGGTTAAGTCTGCCATACTGCCTGCAAATATGTTTAGTGCGGCTTCGAGCTCTCGCCTTTTGCGCTTTGATAAGTTGTTGTATTTGACTTCAAAGAGCTGTTCATTTCGGAGGAGATAAGGCCCCTGTGCTTTATAGAGTCTCAGCTCCTCTCTGAGGTTCCGAAGCTCGATGGTCAGATCGTCGATAATAGGTCGATAGTCGTCGCGGCCACTGCGCTCTAGCTCTTGTTCGAGGTGTGGTGGGATAATCGACTGTTCATAGGTATTTCTGCCCTCGGCAGATAAAGCTGAACATGTTTGCGCATTGGGTGGGCTACCTGCAGAAGTTGAAAACCGTTAGCTACAATGCTGCCCTGCAGAGTAGTTTGTGAGAGACAATGGCGGCATATACCGTGAATTATGCTAGAATCAAGTAGCGATGTTCTGTTCTGGTTGGGGCGATTTGACCACCTCCGTAGCTTGCTCTGTGTAGTCTTCTGGCCCCCTTCACAGTGAATTTGGCCAGCCGAATAGAGCGAGAAATCAACAACTGCGTGAAGTGAGGCGCCGCTGGTCATGTTTCTGCAAGGCGTGCGAATGTGCGAGCAAGGCGAGTCGAGGATGAAGAATAAAACAAACCTATTTGCGTCGGTTTTCTGCTTTATGCATGCTTGTCTACCAACGCATTAAGTAGTCATAAGGTGCTGATGACGCCCAAAATCTCGATGGGCATTCCACGCTAGCGGTTACTCCACCTTATTGGGCTCCATCTGTCAAGTATGATCCCTGCTGAGGAAGAAAGCAGACTGCCTACCCCACCATGCCAACACATACAGTGCTAGCCCTCAGCTTGAAATGCCAACCACAACAGGCAGGTCAAATCCGACGGCCAAAATGCACTCCAGTGCTGAATTCAGGAACAATACCGCTATCACGATAAACATGGCGAACGCTAGCGATCGCCGCGCACGCAACCTAGAGCGTAACCGCATCGCAGCGACCAAGTGTCGCCGGCGGAAGAATTGGCAAGATAGTCTGGAGCGCAAGAAGAATGAGCTGAAGAGCCGTTACAAAGCACTATACCACGAGACTGAGAAACTGCTTGAAGAAGTAGCCTAACTTAAAAATCTCGTCATGTCGCACGCCTTATGTGACGACGTTAAACTCGATAGTTGGATCCGCAACCAGGCCGACAGTTTCGTCAGGGGCAGAACGAGCGGTATGCTTCCGGTGCTGGCGCTCCCGTCAGCGCAATTAGGCTGACCAGCTTTTTCTGAAGCCGTTGTCGAAATTTGGAATGATGGCAGAGACGCACCGGTCGTCATTGTCGTGGATGCGCTTGATGAATGCGAGCGAGAAAGTGATATCACGCTCCTCATCCGCATGTTATTTCAAGCCAAGACTGCGCTTCCAAACCTAATCAAGATCTTCCCTACGTGGAGTGTTGTGAAAACTTGCCAACTACGTACTCTCGGCAAAAGTAGTGGAAGCCGGCAGATCGTGCGCTACTTACGTCACTCGCATCCCTGCTGAGTTTCTTGGTCAAGTGGTGTTTTAATGCGGGGAGCATCACCTGCTCGAAACCCAGAGCAGATAACCTTTTGGGAAGATCTGGATTGGACATGGCGGGCCTGACAGTCTTATGTTATGGATGTTGAATTCAAACAGCTTCATGATACCGCTCCATAGACATTTCAGGATCCGCAAGCGTATTACTATGATCTTTTGAGCGTCCAGACGACAACGAAAGAGGAGTTCCACAGGGAGCTAGCAACTCGGAGACAAATGCGCATTTTGAAGCTCAATCGCGAACATGAAACTCTCAGTCACGAGATTGTGGCCAACTTTAGCTTAGTTGCAGCTACACAACGGCACTATGCTGTCCAGTTCTTTTCTCTGAATGGCACCTCTCTCCCTAGTCGTGCTGTTTTCCGAGATGGTCTCTAGCTAACTGAAGGAAGCATGATAGCGCCAAATCTACGTAGACATCTTCGGATCCTCGCTCCTGCCGATGCCTATGGTAGCCGTGACTTCGGCGATGCGGCTGAAATCAGTTGAACTGGCGCTCACAACGCTAGGGCTGCAGCTCAACGACCACCAGGCTACAACATTCCAAAGGCATAGCTACAAGGTCAAGCTCCACTGTAAATTTCGTGACAGGGCGAGCTCTCTGCCGAATATTGCCCAAGTTTTCGCCTGCCCCTTTCATGCCCTCTTCTTGACTATATCCCATTTTAGAGCGCCGTCAACTCACCATGCCGGAAATTGTATGTTTACGACGTTAATTAATTAATACGCCAACGCTAATCCGGGGCCTGCAATGCTCAATAGGTACAAATTCAGGTTGGCCAATGTGTAAGAAAAGCTCCCACTCCTACTATTACAATTTAATGACAATCACAGGGCAACCAAGTCGGTACTGCATTCTGGCAGACGATTTTGGGCGAACACGGTATAGATAACGATGGAATGTATGTATTGCATGATATCCTATTGTCATACAGTGCATAAATAAGCGCTGTCATGTGTCATATCTGACCATCATAATCAGTTATCATGGCGACAACGAAGAACGCATAGCACGCGCCAACGTCTATTTCCACGAGGTATACAGAACCACGCTTCTATTACCAGCTGCCCATATAACAATGGTTTACTAAATCTATTCATAGACCGCGGGTAGAAAATATGTGCCACGCGTGGTGCTTGTCGACCTCGAGCCAGGCACAATGGATGCCGTGCGGGCAAGTCCTCTTGGTAAGCTCTTTCGACCGGATAATTTCGTCTTTGGCCAATCTTCTGCCGCGAACAACTGGGCGAAGGGCCACTATACCGAAGGTGCAGAGCTGGTTGATGACGCCGTCGATGTGATTCGCCGCGAGGCAGAGCAATGTGATTGCCTCCAAGGCTTTCAACTTACGCACTCCCTCGGGGGTGGCACTGGCTCTGGCATGGGCACCTTGCTCCTGGCAAAGATACGAGAAGGTAAATGTAGCCAAGGCGGTCTGCATAAACTGCCGTATGCTTGTGACATCGCTAATCAAGATCTAACACAGAATTTCCTGATCGTATGATGGCCACCTTTAGTGTTCTCCCGTCATCGGAAACATCCGACACAGTCGTGGAGCCATACAATACAACGCTCTCCATTCACCAGTTGGTCGAAAACTCGGACGCAACGTTTTGCATTGATAATCAGGCGCTCGACAACATTTGCAAACGTAGCCTGAAGTTAGCAAACCCGACAAATAATGACCTTAACCATTTGATATCACATGTTATGTCTGGAATCTCGACATCCCTGCGTTTTCCTGGTCAACTCAACTCCGACATGAGGAAGATGTGCGTAAACTTGGTATGAGTTCCGCATCCACGTCTTCGTTAGCGCGATATTTATCAGCGCTAATATATGTGTTTCAGGTCCCATTCCCACGCCTTCACTTCTTTCTGGTTGGCTTCGCCCCCTTGACGAGCCGTGAATCGTTCGCATTCCGCTCCAGTACGGTAGCCAGTCTCACGCAGCAAATGATGGATCCTCAGAACATGATGGCCGATTCGGACTTCCGTAACGGCCGCTTCCTCACATGCTCTGCCATCTTCCGCGGCAAGATTGCAGGCAAGGAAGTGGAAGAGCAGATGCGACGCACTCAAGACAGAAATTCGGCTTATTTTGTGGATTGGATTCCTAATAATGTGCAGTCTTCGCTATGTTCTGTGCCTCCCAAGGGTCTCAACATGTCGAGTACCTTCGTAGGTAATTCTACCGCCATCCAGGATATCTTCAAACGGGTAGGAGACCAATTTCAGGCGATGTTCCGCCGTAAAGCGTTTTTACACTGGTATACGGGAGAGGGTATGGACGAGATGGAATTTACTGAGGCAGAATCCAATTTGAATGACCTTGTGGCCGAATACCAGCAGTATCAGGACGCAACTGCAGATGATGTCGACTTCGATGAGCATTGGGGTAGGGACGAAGAGGCTGGAGTGGATGAAGAATCAACCGCTCGAATGTAATACAGAAACAGCTGAGAGGATGAAAGAAAGCTTTCTGAACTCCATTTAGTGCCTCCCCGTTGAGCAGCCCCCTTTGACGCTTGGGGCCTACCCCTGTTTATCGGTAAATTCGCGATGAGATGAAGAGGTGTAGGCAAGCAAGCAATACTCTCGTTTTCTGGCATCCAAAACAGCTTCGTCCATTATCAACGCACCTTGGCCTTAGGCCACATCCGTGAGTGGATGCATGGAGGCCAGTTCCTGACGACAGACGCATCCGTATTACGCCCGAGACACATGTCAACAAGTCGACACCTGTTCTATTTGATCCATCGACATCTCATTCGGGTCAAAAGTCCTCGTGTAACCGTCAACGAGCGCGTCAATTTCGCAGAAGCCGTATCGGCCGGGTTGGCCGTTGTCGGAGTAATCACGGACGGCACCATCGGCCTTACACGGTCCGAGGCAGATAGCGGGCTGATAGGTTCAGCATTTCTTGGAAGATCTACCTTGATACTGTATTAATATCAAAAGGTAATACAGTATGACGGCACATCAGAATGGTCAAGCTGCTTGGGCATGCCATTCGACGCGGGCATGCGCCGTCGCCACTTGGATCGCATGGCATTGGTTCTGGATCCGTCGGGACATACGATTCTGTACCGGTACTGCACAGCAGTGCCAAGGCTATCGGTCGGTGAAGGATGGATCTGTAGTCCTAGCCGCCTGGCGATGACATCCTCGTGATATGTTGGGATGCTCCACCTCCCTCCCAGACCTGCAGGTTCCAAGGCCGGAGGGTTCCGGCTTCTAAAAATGGGCTGGAACGCTCCCAGCCCTGAGCTCCTGTGGACATCCACCAGCAGCGCCAGCCCATGGAAGCACAGCAAGGCTGGAGGATGGGCAGTGAGACGGGCTGACGCTGCTGTGGATGTCCGCTATGGTGGACAGGGCCTGCGGTGGACATCCACCACCGACGACAGCTTATCATCGACTCAAGCCAGCGCACGCCAAGGCCATCATGTCTTGTCCATCGGTAGCAGGGGATAGTCACAATGGGATAAACTTGTTCGTTCTTTTCTACGTTTTAGCCGGCCGCTCCCTTCTCCAGTCTACTTTTTTCAGTCGGCCATAGTGGTGCTACGAAGATCCCCGTCGTTCCGTCTGATGTCACTCACTCAAACCACGTATTCGGCATCAGCGAGGACTGCGTACGAGAAGCTGCGTGCGCAATACCATCCAAATGAGGACACTTCCAGCGACCCACAACCGCGTACGAGAACTTGCGTACGCAGTACTGCACGCTTGGCGTGACTGCGTACATGTGCTACGTCCTAGTTAGTACGCCACATCTTATTC